TGCCTTCAGCTCCAATTTCCAGCCTGGGTATGTGTCCTCTTTACTAGCCAGTATACAGAAACTGGGCTGTGTGTGCCATAATCTGCTCTATGTGTGACAATACAGCATTGACTTCCTGATATTAAACTGAGTTTGAATGCCAAACGCTTACCTGTTATACTATTCATGTATTGTAGTAATGAAAGGGAAAAGTAGACTGCATTCAGAATTTGGATAAGATGACACCATGTGACACAGATTTCCAGTTGCTTATAAAATAGCTGGAAAAAGGGCATCGTAAATCATAACTACTTTCCACTTTGTTATTGTCTGATAACCGAACAGTTCATTTAGATAGTGCAAAGAGCACGTGGAGTGCAAGCATTAGACTTTTTTTTGTGTTGTCTCAAATAGTCCTTCAGCAGCATTGCTCAACTGTTTGCTCCGTCATATGTAGTGTGATATGTTTTCCTTGAACAAGTAATGCAAGCAGAAGGTTTCCTTTTGTTGAACTCGAAGGGGACAAACTGTCTTGTAGGAGGAATTAAATGAGCCACCACGTTATTTAGTAACAACAAGTATAATAATATGCACATACATGACAAGTGTCGTATCATAAGCTGCCTTTATGTTGCTAGTACGTAGTATTCTTATGAAAAATAGTCTTAGAATTGGCTGGATACTAACACCATGCACACAGACTTAAAGGAGAGTCTTCGCTGGTTGCATGGCAACAGCTCAGCTGTATAGCAGTACATGGACTTTGTGAAACAATGTTTTTAAATGTCAGCTCGTGTACACATTAAAAAACAGAACAGATGACATGCAGGTGGTGTTATTGTTTATCATGTGCCATTTTTAAGACCATGCATGCGCATATTCCAGGTTGAGCGGTGGACTCCAGCCTCCAGGCAGTAGCGGGTTTCCTGGCTTACTGTCGTTCCAGGTGCCAGGCTTCTCTCCCTCTGCCTCCCCCGCTGCACTCAGTGGGCTCCACAACCCAGCTGTGCAGTCTGCCCTGCTGCAGGTAAATGCGCACAAAACCACACACACACAAATGTTCTGACCAAGTTTTAAAAAACAAAAAGAACTGAATATTATGTTATTGTAAACACTGATTTTTCTTATCTTGTTCCAGCCTCATCCCCCTTCTGCTTTGGAGAACTTCACTACTCAACCTAACAGCTTCACCAACTACCCTGCAGGCCCAGGACACACCTTCCCTATCCAATCGGGGCTGCACCAACCGTTGGGCTGGCCGTGAAACCTACAATAGTTGTGAAACATTGAGTAAAAAAGTAACACTGACTCCTGCCACACCTCTTAGCAGGTGATACAATTTCTATTTGTCCTTGAACCCCAGACGAGCACATGACAGTTAATCACTGTGTATGTTGGAACAGGAGTGAAATGGGTCAAATAGTCTGTGGGGGAAAAGGCATAATTGTAATATCATTCATAGTGAAGCGTTGTAAATATTAATTGTGAAAGTTGTTAGTTTGACAGGTAGACTGTGAGTGATTTCATTATTAGCCTGACTTGCCTGTTTTTAATCAAACTTAGAACATTTATAAATGAATAATGAATTATAGAGTATTAGAAAAGTCCACATAACATGTAATAAATTGACCTCAGTCCTGAGCCACAGTAGTATCTCATTTCCAATTACAGAGCAAATGAAATGCTAATGAATTTGATTGACAGGCATAAGATATAGTATTGTAACATGATTTTTTTTTTTTTTTTTGATGACTTGATGTCCCCGTTATGCTCATTTCTAATCTAAACATTTACAGCACAGTGGTTTTCTTTAACATGTGAAAATGTTAAGTTTGTCTCAGTTTTTTTTCTTCTAAAAACATCAGGTTTTTAGCAGTACACTTTGGGCTGTTTTAAATTGGTAACAAGGGGGTGCTTCACCAATTCTTGTTTGTTCAGTTATGTAACACAAAAATAGGTAAATGAGAACAGTTTTATTTACAGTCAAGCTGCATTAAAATAAAGTTACTGTGAGCACAGCGTGTAGAAAAGGGGCAGACGGATCCGATTCTGTAATTTTAGCGACGGAAACAACTTTTTTTTTTTTTCTGCTGATGTTGGGACATTGCCACCACCTCGGTTGCTGGGAGTGCACGGAGATTCTTGATGCTTTTGTAGCTGAAGCGCAGATCATTGTAAGGACTCTGTCTACATCTCGGTTTCAAATTGGGTGTTTCCAGCACTTCTAAACTTCATTTGGAGAAGGCTTTCGTAAAGAATAAATAGGAAAAACCTCACAAAGCATAGCAGGGGCCTATACTAAAGTATGCAAACTACAAATGAATGTGCTGTGTCAGGGGTTAGTTTGTAGTACATACAAAAACTTGCATTTGGCAGCTCTACACAAGTGGGGTTTTTTTTCCATTCTTTTCTTTTCAGTGAACATATTTGTGACTGCAATTTTCTGTGATTCTCATGTTTACAACGTTTATTTCTCATATGTGACACTGCTGGGACTGCTACTACAACATTTATCCAGAATAAGATTATGCAGGCATTTTTTTTTTGACATTGTGACTTTTATTATTATATTCTGTAGTTTAACAAATTGAAAGCTGTACTTTTGCCCCTCTTTACTCCTTAGTAGTTCTCTATTCTACTGGGATTATCTCAAAGACAATGACCTTTTTCTTGAGTAATAGATGTTTTGTATGCTACACAGTTTTTATTTTATTTTTTGCCCTTTTTAAAAAATGTTTCCAGTGAACTGCTGGTTACTGTATCTGTAGTCTATGTGATGCCATTACTGTCGACATCTCTTGAATAAAAATACTGGAGCTGGACAAAATAATGGAAACAAAGTTTATTTTAACCATAAAGCTACACGTATACATCAACTCAATTTTGAAGATTTACTTAACTACAAATTCTAAATGACTGCATCTATTTAATATCCACTTTGGTTCCTAACCTTGATTTGAATGGTTTTACAACCTGCGTACGTTCCACTTACCCCACCATATACAAAGCTTATCACAAGCGTTGCTATTGCTCAACACAGTCATGTGTCCATTAGTCATGCGGGTATACATGTATAATTGATGGGGATTTTTTTTTTTTCCATTTGAGTTCTTTGATCAGAATATGTTTGCTAATTATATATAAAAAAAACTTTTTGTGATTTTTGTTTTGTACAGTTTAGCTTTTTTTGTAAAACTATTAAACACTTTTTTTTAGTCAGTGCAATTAGGATTATTCATCTAAACCTGTATACATGTATTTAATTTTCTACGGAATTACAGTAGTAAAAAGGGTTATTCCTCCAATGGATCCTCAGCAGTAAAGCTGGCTGGCTGATTTTCTCCTACATAGTGAAGAAATAAACAAATTTGGGCCCCTGACAGATGTTCATCAAAGTTAATGGAAACTCATTGCCTTTGTCACATTTGCAAAAGAGGGCAAATGTTGAGTTCCACTGTGCCACGTCCAGGAAGTCTGTGGCAGCATGTGCATGCATGTGTACAGTCGTGTCATCATTCTATCTGTAAACACCACAGCTCGAGAAGTTTCATTTTTGGTAACACTTTAAAATACATACATACCCTGAAATTAAGTGTAGTATTTTATCTGTAATTACAGTGAAACTACAATTACCTACAAATATTTAAAGGCGATTATAAAAAGAAGTTAAAAGGTCATGTTTTTACAGGCAACAATGAACTAATTACACTGTCTAATTTCACTAGATGGTTTGGAATCTCTCTGAATAATTAGGAACAGCAAGATGGAGACGGATAACTTTTTAGCAGTCTCTTTACTCTCAGCACACAGCAACAACAACCCACACTTCCTGTGTGCCGCCCTCATGAATACTTCACTGACCTCTCAGAAGCCAGGAAATCTTATACTCAGATCAAAACAGGGAAAACAGCCAGGTAGATATAACACTAATTACTTAATACTTATTACTGGTTTGAACATGCATGTCTAAACATTCAAACGTGTAAACATGTAAACTGACAAATTTAAAAAAAAAAAAAAATTAAATATCAATTTACATAAATGAGTTTTATTTTTTATCGTTTTTATTGTTTTTATATCTTTGGCAGTAAAGGTCAATGTCAAAAATAATTATGGTATTTCCAATAAACAAACTAAGTCGATTTTACTTCAGTGAACAAGTCTTGAGACACCCCTCCTGTCTTTAATTTTGCTCTTTGAGAATGACGTCGCTGGTGCAAGACTATTACTTTGTGCTTTTTCTTAGATTCAACTAAAGAAATTGGAGGGGATTATCTGCATTTGCGACCACAGTAAGTCTGGCTCGCTGGAAGCAAAATATAAAGAAAGGGGTGCCCAAGACTTTTGCCCAATACTGTTTTATTTTGCAACATTTCACAAAATCTGTTTTCAACATCAGGCTTTAACTGGTTCCTCATTCTAGTAGTAAGGGAAATAAAGGAATGCAGGACATTTCTATTTGACAGAAGCATGGTGGGGAAATTATTAAAATGTAGTTATAGCTTAATTATATTATTTCCAGCTTACATCTTATTATAAGTTACATTTTAATCGTGAACACAAATTGTATCTTATTTGATTTAAATGATTTGTTTCTTTGCTATCTATCCGTCTATCTTAAAATTAAATAAAACCCAAAGATCTTTAGTGTTAAACTTGAAGCATTAAGAAATACAAAAATAATGAAAATACAGAATTATAATAATTTTTTTTATGTAAACATCATAGCAGAAATAAAAGTTTATAGTAATAAATATATCGATATACTGTACTGTTTCCCATGTGGTTCACACATGTCACGTGGATTTTTATTTTCTTCTTCTTTTCTTTTTTTTTTTTACAAGTGCTATCTATAATTTTACAGCCTCTAAGATTATCCATTTACCTGGAAGAATCATGACGATAGTACTCTGTTACTTTGGCGATGATTGACCCTGAATCAGAGCCACGCCTACACCTTGAGCCACATTGTATTGCAGCAGGGCTTCTTTAAAAGGCGCACTTGCTCTAGTTCAGGCACACTTCAACAAACTCTGTCTAAACGCACTTCCTACTAACCACTTTCAGTTTTACCAGCATATGGAAATGGAAGACCAGGTGGAAAGCCAGAAGAGGAGAGGAATGAGCAAAGAGGACTTGATATGTAAGCTGACTTTCAATATCATTATTATTATTACTTCGTTTTTTTAGGGTTCGATATCCTGTTACTGGCTGTGTTAAGTAAGCTATTACTCTTACTACTACTACTTCATTCGAGAACAGAGTTATATCCTTCTCCAACAAGGCACAATGTTATTGTTGGCCAACAATTACATGTAAAATATCATCCTTGTTCTGTGAGTTATTTTAGTATCAGTTTTATATCTGTATAGTCGGTGTGGAGATGGAAAGCAGCTAAACAGACTAGGGTTATAGTTTGACTCTATCGTCATAGTGACAGAAATCACATGCCACCAAGACAAACAGTCCCAAAGCATGTGACTTTTTTTATGTGTGTGTGCACTGGTGAAAAGGGAGCGCTGTCATGTTCGCATGTATGGAAATGTCCTTTATGTGGGGGTTGATAAGGGGTTGTTTCCATATCACTTTTTTATCCATTGTTTTTATTATCACCAGCCTGTCGGACAAGATAATGCCAAACGCATAGCTGTGCGGGCAGCATTTCTATTTTTGCCGTTGGTAAAATATTACCTGGGTGCAGAGATCGGTTAGTGTACTGAGACAGCTAAGATTTCCTTAAATGTCTCAGCTAAGTTTCTGCAACTTAACTAAAAGTATGCAAGTATGCTTATTATTTTTTCTCTAAAATGAAATATACAGATATTAAAAACAGGCACAATGAAAGCTGTGATTGAAATAACATGATCATCTTGTATTATTTTTAAAATATATAACTTTTAAATAATAGCCATAGAACATATGAAACATCTGAGGTGGGTTTGCAAGGTGGATTGAAACTCCTGCAGACTTCAGCACAGTGGTCTGAGTCTCACAGCAACACATTCAAACCACAGGAAGCTGTTTCCTGTTACTGATCGATGTCCCCTTGTTTGAAAGCATAAACAACACCTCCTTTTTTTTTTTTTTTTTTTTACCACAGAAAAGATACCACAGAGCATAATAGCAACATAAAGGTCATCTCTCAACTTTATATTAAAGTATACTTAAGATCATCCTATAGTAGCCCTGTTTAGTGATTCACATTGGAGTCATCTTGTAATGCCTTTATTGTAAACCATATAAAGAGGCTCAAATGCTGTTATTAGAGGTGTAACCTATTACACATAGCACCCCTCCCAAATTAATTTTTTTTTTTTAAGGAGATGATATTGCATGACTAAACATTTGTGTAAACTGTGGGATGGAAAACTGAGTGTGAGTGTAATTGTCTGAAGGAAAATATGAATTACAACTGTGTAAACAGGCCTTTTTATTTACCCGTGCCTGTGCTCTGCTTTCCACCCACGCACTTTTGCATTGTGTGGCGGCCTACTTGGCAGATGAGGGTTAAAAGCCGTCCCTCAGGTGTCCTGTGTGGTAGATACAAAAAGCCAAAATATTTCACCCCCAGTTCCAAAGGGATCCACAATAAATTTAAGCAGATTAGTCAGTTTTTTTGGGTTTTTTTTGCCTTGTTACAATTCCAGGCGCTCATTTTATTTTTATTATTCCCAATGAAAACCAGCTCACATATAAAATAAGCAGATAAATTAGCCATAAAACTGAGACTTACGCTTCAATATTACAACATTTCTCTGATGCTGCTTAATAATCCAGCATAAAGTTAAACATCATTGTTTAATGGCCACGTCACAAAACCGCAGAGAAAGACTGTACACCATGAGTCTGGAATACACTGACCCTTCTCTGTTTTTAATGGCCTCTTTTCACAAACAAAGCAGAAATCCCAAGATTGTATTGCGTGAGTAAATATTTCAGTGTGTGCACAGAGCATGGGAGAGTGTTTTCAAATTTTGTTTATACCCAACATTTAAGATAAGCTGGAAATGTGAGGAGCAGGCCAACAATAAGACCATTATGAACTGTGGGAAAATATTAATTACAATTGTCGGCACGTAATCCACTTTTGAATAGTTTGTTGATCTTTTAGCAGCTGAAGCTTTAGAGCTTGAAGAAGAGCTTTGTGTACCTCACTGAATCAGATCCAATTTTCTATGTAAGCGTGATTAAAGCTAATACTTATAACAAGGTAACTTTCCTCTCCATCCACGTATGGGTGTCAAAGTATGCCAAACACATTTAAACACATGCCGTCTCTGTTTTTCTCTCTCTTTAGCCGAACGCACAGGATCTTTGGGAGCGTGCGGCTGGATCATAGTTATACTCGCTGGCCTGTTCACAGTTCTGCTCTTCCCCATAACAATCTGGTTTTGTCTGAAGGTGAGCGAGATAACTAAATAAGCACAGTGGGCTGAGGAGTTGAAACCACAGCTTCCTTTGCTGCTGTGAACATGAACTCAGCTTGTGTTTTTGGTGGTCTTGCAGATCGTTCAGGAGTATGAGCGAGCTGTCATCTTCCGGCTGGGCCGCATCACAGACAGGAAGCCTAAAGGACCAGGTAGAAACGCTCAGGGTTTGCACATTTGTTGGGTTTTTAGACAAAAGAATTTGTATTTACTGTATTTACATTGTCCGCAGGGATTTTCTTTGTTTTGCCATGCACTGACTCCTTTGTGAAAGTGGATCTGCGAACCATTTCATTTGATATCCCACCACAAGAGGTAGGATTGTAGACAAACAACAAAATGATGTAAAATTGCCCCCTTGCAGCATTATAAAATGACTCATCATGCTGGTATATGTATTTCTTTTATAGATCCTGACCAAAGATTCAGTTACAGTTAGCGTAGATGGCGTGGTCTACTTCCGCGTCAGTGACCCCATCGCATCTGTGGCCAATGTTACCAATGCTGACTTTTCCACCCGCCTGCTTGCACAAACCACCCTCAGAAATGTCCTGGGAACCAAGAACCTGGCTGAAGTCTTGTCTGACCGCGAGGGCATCGCTCACAGCATGCAGGTATAAAACCTGAAGCCTGAATGTGTGATGTGGTTTTTAGAGGTTTTTCAGAAGCCAGAAAATCCCCTTTAGATGAATCTGAATATGAAAAACCCAGTTCCATTTTATTTTTGGCATCATATTTCTAATACCTAAAAAAAGACTCGGATGTGC